TGCCCCTCTAATGGACATGATGATAGGTGTGAATGACCAAGACATTTGGTTGCCTGAGGTGAAGAACATGATCAATCTCTCTCCTCAGAAATTGACTGGACTCCCAGTTGCATTTTGTTTTTATATTTATGGTGATAACAGCATCTTCCATCACATCAAAAAACAGTAGACTAGTGTAGGGGATCAGGACAGATCATGTAACATATGACCTCTAATCTTCCACAAAGGAAATTGTCTGGGAGACTTGGGAGGAATAGCAAGGGTAATGTTGTTTCTCATTCCCAATATCTGCTGATTTGGACAGTTGCCGCATTCATCCTTATGATAGGGCTGGCCCTTATGTGCTGATCATCTTCTGCAAACTTTTGGGATATGATTATGGGATCAATGCCCTGTATCAAATGAAGATGTGAAGGTAAGGTGGTGTAATGTGGGGTGTTTAAGCCAACATCCTACTTTGCATGGGGGAAGGAGAATGATTTGCCTACACAGCTTCACTGAGCTACCACTTCTCACTTACATCTACATACACACAGTCACACACACTATACAAGGTAGCTTTCCAGCAGTGTATCATACCTTGCCACCCTTAACCACTGCTTGGCCAGCAGAAGATATGGGTCACAAAGGCAGTATCTATTTGCATTTCTGCAGCCAAGAGCATACTGCAGCTACTATCCTCCCAGGTCTCCAGCATGTATGGAGGATATCAGGAGGGCAACATCTTCCTTTTTCTCTTGTCTGCAGCCAGGTGTTGCCTGGGGGTTGCTGTCCTCCCATGCCACAAAATGGCGGTCTTTACCTTCCTGTGTTCAGTCATGAGAGAACATATGCAACCCCTTTGACTAGAGTTCACAGATGTAGAAATGAAGGTAGCCTCTGACCTTGAATGGTTGTGTAGAATAGGTAATTTCAACAGATATTGCTTTCATCCAACCAGGTAACAAGTAATTCCTGCTGAAATGACCTTCTCTATACAACCACAAAGCATAACAGGATCTCTCTCCAGTTTTCACTCTGGCAACCCTACCTCTGATGCAGCTTTGCATAGTAGTGAGGCATTATGCAAGGAGTTACCTCCTTGTGCAACAAACTTTAATTTACTCAATTTAACTTAACTCACATTTCAATACCTACTTGTGCAACAAATTTTAAAGGATGTATGCATGCACAGAAAGCCAGCATGGTGCAGTGGTTCGGACACTGGACTGGGGCTCTGGAGACTAGAGTTTGAATCCCAGTTCAGCCATGGAAATCCACTGGTTGACCTTGGGTGAGTCACACTCTTTCAGCTTCAGAGGATGGCAATGGCAAAAACCCCTCTGAAGAAACTTGCCAGGAAAACCCCATGATAGAGTCACCCTCAGGTTGCCATAAGTTGGAAATGATTTGAAGGCACACAAAAACAACAACGCATGCATAACTCCAAGTTATTCTACCAAGAAAGTGGCATTCTGGAAGAAAGGTTGGTGAGTTGCAGACATCAAAAATATCTCCCCATCAGATCCTAAAATGACAGCTGATTTCAGATACCAACATTTCCTTCATTCTCTCCACAGGAAGGATCCTGGTTCACTGTGCAGTGGGGGTGAGCAGATCAGCCACCCTGGTCCTTGCCTACCTCATGATTTACCACCGACTGACCTTGGTGGAAGCCATAAAGACCGTCAAGGACCACCGGGGCATCATACCCAACCGAGGTTTCCTTCGCCAGCTGGCCGCCCTGGACAATTCCCTCAGGTTGAAGCACAAACCATGAGCAGATGGGTTGTACAAAAATAGTGTTGAAGCCAAATCTGCTGACAGGCCTGAGGCAACTCTGGGTCACCTTTCAGGCTGTGACATCCCTGAACCTCCACTGTTCCTGTAGTGCAGAAGTCCAACAATAAGGCTCTGATGGCCTACAAGACCACCATCCTCAAATGTTCTATCAGAGTTAGCTTCAGATGTCAGCTAGAGGTGAATAAGCTCAGGTTTTCTGAGGTTTTCCTCCCTCCCTCCTTTCTTACTGGCTTTCATACTGGCTTTCAAAAGCCATAAAATGGGATTCTCCTAGATGACAAGTCCCAACAACAGACAGAGCTTTCAGCTGCCCTAGTTCCATTAGAGTGATGTGTGATGTGGCCTCTTGCTTGCTTGTCACCTATATTGAAGAGCTTGGGTAGCTTCCTAATGTATTTTAACAATGAGAATAAAATCTTGCAGAGATTAAGTGCTTCAGAGCATCTTTTCCCTCTTTTAAGCAAATGCAGGGCAGTTATAGGGCAAGGAAAAATAGGATTGGCAGTTGATAGCAGAGCCAAGGTACTACTTTCTCTGAGGTGGAAGGGGAAACATGGTGTGCAAGCAAAAGAGCTGTCATGTTGACTCAATCCAATGTGTGTATTTCCTGAGGATAAGACATCATAAATCCCTTCTGCCATTCAAAATTGGTTAATTCAGTCTGAAACTGGAGGCTCATGTAGAAAGAGAAGTTACAGTACAAATGTAATCATTTGAGAATGACAGAAGCAGTTTCTGGAAATAGGTAGACACCTTAAGCTACCAAGTAAGCACTTTAAAATGGTCCAGTCACCAACAGCTTTGAATCACAATAATAGCCTCCAACATTTCACAGATGAAAACCAGGACAGATTTGGCCAAGCAACATCAAAGTGCAATCAATATGGAAATGTTATTAATGTCTTAATAATACACAAACTAGAAGAGGCTGCAGTGGTTTGCTTTTCCCTAAGTCGACAGAAAAGGGCAAGATTCCATCTCCTCTCCCTCCTGCTGAGTGAATTGGATGCAAACTATTTTTGCACTTTGGCCTAATCTTGCAAAAATTGAAGTAAGCTGGGGACAAAAGAGGGGAATGGGAGGAGAAGAGAGAAATTGGGTAATTTTAAATGCAGCTGAAAAAGTGAGAAGACAGAAGATTAATAGGGACTTTCCTTGCCAAATCAGAACAGTTGGAACATATGCAAAATAGGCAAGATTTGCCTATGCAGAACTTCTGGCATCTGTTTTGATGTCAGGCACACATCAAACCCAGCAACAGTGTGCCAATCTTTTTTCTTAACCTTTATCCACATGGATAGACATTCTCATTCTCCAGAGTCACATTCTGTTGCAAAATTCACATAAAACCTTAGACCAATATAGGACTATTGGCCAACATGGCTGAGGCTTCTGGGAGCTGAAGTCCCTCGGCCCTTAAAGGGGAAAGGTTGCCTACCCCTGCCTTAGACCTACAATAATTATTATTACTGCTATTATCATCATCATCATCATCATCATCATCACCACTATCACTGACCATCATCACATTTGATAGCCCACATTTTTCCTCAGAATCAGAATTCAAGGCAACTTACCACATTAAAGCAAATACAGTATCCATAAAAATGTAGAAAAGATTATCATTAAAATGTAATTGAACAATCTATAACATTAAAAAACAATTTAAAATATCCATTAGAAAAAAAAATTAAAAAGATAAGAAGCAGTTAAAAAGCAGTATTGCACACTATTAAAAGGCACACTATTAAAGACAGCAAGGAGGGATCAATCAGGGGCCCATCTACATTATGCAATTATAGCACTATTATTCCACGTTAACTGCTATGGTTCTGTCCTATTAAATCTTGGGGTCTGAAATTTAAGGAGGGACAATTCCCAACCAGGGAGCTATACTCCCTCACCAAACTACAAACTCTAAGATTCCAAAAGTTGGAACCATGGCAATTAAAGCAGAATCATGGTGCTATAAATGGGTAGTGTGAATGGGCTCCTGGCTTCCCTAGGAAGGGAGTTCCAAAGCCTAGAAGCAGCTTCTAAACAGACTCTCTGTTGCATTCTCACCAGATATGCTTGTGAAGGGGATCAGACTGACAGAGGGACCTCTCCCAAACTGAGGGTTTGTAGGAGAAAATACAGTCCTTCAGAGAACCTCAATCTAAGTCTTGCGGAGTTTTATAGGTCATAACCACCACTTAGTATTATGCCTAGAAATAGTAGTCAATGGAGCTGTTGTAACAATGGACATGTGTTCTCTGTAACCAAGCTGGGTCAAGAGTCTGAATACAACTCTTTGGGCCAGATGAAATTCTGAATCCCTTTCCAAGGCAGCCACATGTAGAGCACTTTAAAGTAATCCAAATGGAATGTAACAGAGGCACCATGGCCAAATCAGACATTTCCAGGATGGGGCACAGCTGGTGCACTAGTTTTAACTGCACAGTCTACATTCACTTCTAGCTATATCAGAAGTCTAGGCATTCTGTCTGAATCCAGGAGCATATCCAAACTGACAGGGGCAATATAGCCCAACCAGCACAAGCTGAATCCCTATTTTCCTGATCTGTCTTTCAGCTCACCAGGAGTACTTCTGTTTTGTCTGGATTAAGCTTCAGTTAAGCCCTCATCCAATCCATTACTAGTGCCAGGTATTGGTTTCGGACAGAAAATAGAGTTGAATGTTATCACCATATTACCGATACCGAATGCCAAATCTCCAGACTACATCACCCATTTGCATGGGATCTAAATCAACATATAGATGTTAAAAAAATATGGGATACTAAATGGAATTCCAAGGTTCAATGGCATAAAAAGCAACCAAGAGGCCAGAGTCTAGTAGGATTCACATGGTCCAGTTCCTAATATAAGTCATTCACCAAGGTGACAAAAGTCATATTTGCCCCATAACCAGTCCTGAAGCCATAATGAAATGTATCTAGATAATCCATCTCATCCAGCCACCACATGTACCAATACTTTGCCCAAAAATGGAATATTGGAAGCTGGCCAACAATTATGTGGCACAATGAGATTCAGAGAGAGATTCTTCAGCAAACGTCTTTTTGAAACCAGGAATTTTCCAGCTTGAAAAAAATGGATGCTGGAGCACCCCTCTGAGGCGATGGGCTTGGGCTGTACCCGGGCAGCAATTTCAGCAGCTAAATGCATCTGATAATAACAGGATGCCAGCCACTTCTAATTTTAAGCCAGCTCAGATAAGCTGCATTATAACCTAATGCAATAATCTTCTGTGTCTACTGCCCTGGCCATTTCCCTGTTCCAGAGAATCAACCAGATTTTCAACAGAATCACCTACCCAAGTGACAGAAAAGACCTCAAGAGTCATCAAGAAACCATCTGGATCAATCAGCATGCTGATGTGGACCAGAAGCTATGAGTCCAGGTGGGTATAAATCCCACCAGATAGTGTTCTGTCTATGATGGTGGTACTGTATAATGTTCTATCATCCTCCCATCCAGTCCAGAAATCAAGGTCCAGAATGTGCCCTGCAGTACTGAATGGGGCTAGATACCATTTGGAACAGGTGTATTATTGTCATGGAGGACATAAGTCCTGAGCCACTCCCAACAAGCTGCATCTCAACATGGGTGTTGAAGTTCTCCAACATAACAAGCCAAAGGGACTTCAAAAACATGCTAATTCAGGAATGGAAACTGCTAAGGAGCAAAGTAGGTGGTGCAACAATATCGAACCCCTATTCTGCCCCAGCCACCCATTTTCAGATACACACACTCAAGTGCAGTAAGCTGTGGGATAAGACATCTGGTTAATGAGATGAAATTCCAACAGACCACTGAAACTCACTTTTCCCCACCAGCCCAGACTTTGCTGGCTACTGCACAGAGAGCCCTGGTGAACAACGCTGAGACACTTTGACACCCCCAGTTTTATTGATCCACATGACTGTGGCAAATGCCTGGACATCAAACTCATCCAGAATCAAATCCAGGAGAGCTCTTGATTGCTCATTCAGTGACCTGGCCTTCAAGCAGCAGCATTTTAACTCCAAAGGGATTGTCACAATTGCTATCAAAGTTATTGGAACTGGGGAAAAGTTTGTGACAAGTGGCAACCAATTCTCATCCAAAGTGCTCCAGCATATCACTTTATTGCATATCTCAGGATTCCATAAAATAGAGCCATGGTAGTTGAAATGGAATCATAGTGCTATAATTGAAAGAGCCCAGGAACAAAAATTGCCTGAACAAATCTACAGTCAGACCTTCATATCTGCAGGGGATCCATTCCAGACCCCTCCTGCAGATACAAAAAAATAAGGGACCTCAAATGGTGTCATTGTCCCAAATGATGGTGTGACATGCACATTGCTGTGCTAGTGGCCATGCATACTCACCACCATTCAAGACAATGGAGCTTGCTGGCTGCAGATGCTCAGATCCACAAATGGCAAGCCAACAGATGGGGAGATCCCACTGTATTAT